ATCTTCTGTTGTTTAATGAAAGTTTAATGCATTATTTAAGTATCATGTGTGTTACCATGATGGTGTTTTGTGTTTGATTGAATGACTCTGTGCACCCTCTATATATTAGCATATACTTCTGCTTGTGGCAAAACTACTCGTGATGAGCTTTGATTCTTCATGTGGCTTTCTCTTTTACCACCTGCATTAATATGGTGGTTGTCAGTATGTTAAAGGTACAAAACAGATTTTAATAGCAGTGTGCATTGTTGAAGATATTTTAATTAAAAAAAATCTTACATATTGTGCCTTTAAATCAGATAGATAGGTAACAGTTGCAGGTTTTACAGTGCTATTCCGAATTTAGCTAGCAGCTTGTTCAGATAAACTGGCGTATTTGTTTAGTAATGAACTGTTCTTCACACTAGATAGGCTACTACTAGATTCTAATGACAGGAAGGCATGGGGAGACACTTCAGTGAACCAAAACATTCGAGTCAGTGCATGGAAGTGAACAAGATTCGTTCACTTAAAAGATTCGCTCAAAAGCACTGATTCGTTCACCAACGGAACACCACTAGAAAGCATTATGTCATTCCTGCCTGTTAAATGCACTGTTGCCTGACGTTATGACTTCTGCCTTCAAATCGTTCCGTTCGTTTTGCTAATCTAATCGCATGTTGCAGGGCTACTACTAAGTGAATTGAAGGCCCACTAAGGTAGAAGTAACGTTAACACACCGCACCTCTATAATGACTCGCGCTTTGACGTGACTCAACGTGAGGATTTTTCACTAACCAACGGAAATACACACTGTACAAATACTCGCGTATTTAAAATAGTAATACACCCCGACTGCGTTTAAATGACAGCGTCTAAGCTTAATGCTTACGGCCATGCTATCTTTATTTAACTCCCTGTGTAGCCTACCTGGCATGTTAAATAAATAAGATGCTATATGGTGCACAAATACAGCTGGATCCGTAAAATGATATTCTGAGGACACGTTTGGTTGCGTGTGTTTGTATTAGCATCTGAATGTGAAAGCATCATTAGCGGATGATCTTACCAGAGGGAGGAAATCACGCAGGTCGCCTGACCATCATCAGCATCTCATGAGAGCGATCAACGGTCGCGCACTCGATTCCTGGCGTATCATCTTCATCATCATCTTCATCATGCCTCTCTTTCGTTTCACTTGTTTTTAATATAGGCTGACAAATACCGACCCAATAATCCGCAATTTGCTAGCGCTGCGCTCCCCCGTCGTCATGTTTGTGCCGTGGTTACCGTTCCGTTTGATTGGGTCTTGTAGGAACTGCAGCACGAGCGCTTCTCTGAGCACCAGCCAACAGCAGAGCCTGCCTTTCCCATCACTGAGCGGCACTATTGCTCTTCATATGCACGATTATTACTAAGCTATTAGCCGACTGTTTGTTTTATGTATGCGGTGCGATATGCTTGCTCAAATATGCTGAGCGACTATACTGCGTATGTATGATTATTATGTCTACGTTAAAGAAACATGAAGATGTTTATTTTTTATTTTGCATTTCAGCATTAGCAGAACAAGGCTATAGGCTTACATACGTAAAACTATAAGTCCACACAGTCTGAGATATACTTCTTAATAATACATACTACAGCAGAGAAACAGAGCAAAAGGCAGAAATAGATTTGTAAACGTTAGGCTAAATATACACTGTAGGGGTAAAACTAAATGATAGCCTGCTGATAAATCAAATAGCCTAATTTCCTGGCTTTATAATTTCTGATTATTTTAAGGTCTCAGTATACAGGAGCTGGCAAAATTATTTTGTAAAAACTACAGATTTTTTTTTACAGTGTTGTTGTTGCATAGCAACGTTCTGTTATGGTGAAAATCACACTTGAATTAAATTATTTTTATTTTATTTTTTTACTTTTAAATGAACATTTGTGCTCTTGATATTTTAATATGTAGTAAAAACAATACGTCATTGGTTTTCAATACGTCAATAATTGAAAACAAGGAATTAAAAAATAACCCATCACTGCAATTGTTTTACTGCATTTTATTCATATAGTTTCTTGATAAAATACACTTTGCTTACAAGTGCTGATTACAATTACTATATTACATTCACCTTTATTTTACATAAAAGTTTGACTTTTAAAACATAAAATAGCACACACTGTGGAAGCCACTCTAAGTTCTGGAATACCAACACCTCCTGCACTAAGAGTCATATCATTTCAGGGTTCCGCAGTGGAAAACATTGCCTCATTAATTAAAAATCCAAGTGTTTTGTAAAATGTCGCAGGCATATAAGGTTGGCGATAGAGGCAGTGGTAAGTCATGCGTTGCAACTCTATCAAAGGAAATGAAAGCAGTAAATAACCAACAACAGTCAAACGCTGCTGTTTAGCTCCGTTTAACATTTTCAAGAACTGGAAGTTAACCCAAACATCATTTGTTTTTTAATTCGAATCAGATGTAAGGCCTGATATAAAGTACAATGGAGGTATCACAGTTATATTCTATGAGTCTCTTGTATGTTTAAATGCTGCATATGTATATAAATGAAAGTGACAGTTTGACAAAAGTCAATAAAAGCCAGTTACCTAGAAACAACCTCACACCCAAAGACATTCAGCACGACCCAACCACCACGCTAGTTAATTTTATTCATACAACACAAACACTATAACCTGATGGATTTTTTTTTCTGTAAAAAGCTAGACTTTCAGTAATCAATAAAGTGAGCTGCAAGTTTCACACAGATATTATTAGTCAATTAAAAATCCACTGTGAGGACACATCAATTCATCGCAGGCAAAACTAGCCACACAAAAATATCAACAGATCACAAGGGCCCTGGTACGAAAAAATAGTGTAAAAAGTTTATGTACACCTTCGACACAGGTATACCAAAATGAGACAGCCAATATAAAGATATAGTAAATACCCTGTTTCTTAAACATTTTGTAAAATGATTTGTAAATAGACTTCTTTTTATTAAAATATATTACTTAAAATATATTACTTTGCTTAACTAGACAAGACATTAAAAACAAAATCTGATTATCTAGTCCCCATAAATCGACTTTGGTATATCACCAAGCAAATCTTATCTAAAATGATTTTACATTTCTATTGCCTGGAAGGCAGATGATAAAAAAAAAAAGCCTAATTCAAAGATGCAACAAGTTGTTTTCCAACATACATAGAACTATTGGTATCAAAATGTATCTGTAGAATTGTTTCAGGACAGAAACTGAGCCACGGCATTTAATGTTGAAACATGATTAAAATTATGATGTGTTGGACAGTATTTCACAAATCAAAACCTTTAGTTATCAGAGACAATCGGATATGTTTAGGCAAGATGCTTTGTAGAAATGTTTGTACATCTAAAAGAACGTCAGTATTTACAATACTAAACAAAACAACAAAAAATCTTCATAAAATCTCCCTTCTGAGTGTTTAACTTCATTGCTCGTAATAGTTTTGCTGTTGATACTCTGCATTATTTGCCTATCCCTAAAAACTAAGGTTACAGAGAATATCTGCTATTCCAATTAGAGTCAATGTAAACAACTTAAATGATTCGACACAGGCTATTGAAATGATTAAGACCTTGTTTTGCTCCTGAGAGGGTACATTAGTTTGTTTAAGAAGTGCTTTAATTCTTACAAATCATAATTTTTTTAGAGCAAAGACATTTTCTGAACATAAAAAGTGCAATCCTAATAAATCTTTTTTTTTTTTCTGAAGAAAATGAGATGTAAGGGACTAATGCTCTTAATTTTATACATATTGTAAATATACAAATTATTGCCATTATCAGTATAAACCTGCTCTTACATTCTTCTCTCATGTAAAAGTCACCGATCTAAGAGAAGTGCTAGCCTGTTAACATATTTGACAAAACTCCCTTCTATCCCATAAATAACTTTGAACAGTACCATATAAACCTATATAACAAGGCAGGTTAATGTATTAGGTTTACATATTCACAGTAATTCTGCAGTAATTGGTATTTCAGTTGTGTGGTTCTTTGCTTGTGTCACAAAGGCTTAAACCAACCAACAAATAGCTTTACAGGAAATGCAAAGACTAAATGTTGATGTTATTGGTTTCTAATCCAGCAAACTAGTGTGAATTATGTGTACAAGATCCGAAATTTGAAGGGTGGAGGGGAATCATGATTATTAACATCTACAAAAATAGTAGTATATTCATTTCAATTTCTAAAATTATATTACAAAAATAGAACAGAAATAGAACCAGCCTTAAATATTGCCACTATTCAATATTGAGTCTTGAGTCTAAAACAAGGTGCTCAATGAATGAGAGGAAGTGTTACTCGGCATTGCACGTTTTTCATACCTCATCTTTTAGCGTGTTATTGTTTGTGCTGTAAAGAAAAACAAAGGGGCGAATTCACTAAACAGTTGTGCGCTGCATTTTAGCACAAAAGCCTACGTTAGCACAAAAGCCTTCATTAGCATCCACGATCCAGTTTAACCAGGCACTTAAAGCCCTGAAACGCAAATGATTGAGAAAAGAATGGGTACATATCCAGACATACAGTGTAGTCGAGCACTTTCGGCGCTCTAAAGAGCCGATTTAAAGTCTGGATTGCATTAGTGCAGCCATACCGAACAGTCCCAGTAAAGCATGCCAGATAAAGGTAGTCTGCTGCATTCGCCACAACTAAGTACTCAGAACTGACTTGCTGGTCATGTTACCTGATTTGCATAACTCCTGTATATATCATCCGCTAAAACAAAGCAGAAGTTACGTGCAAATAAACAGCACTATTAGCGGGCGCAATTCATTCTTAGTGAATTCCCCCCCATACAGCACAACAGCTTGCCTCTCATATGACAACGGATACATGGACACTGCTGTACTGTCGTAACATTTCTGTTACCCTCACTGCAGTGGTTGCTTCTTTTTGAATGAACAAGTTGCAGTTTATCCTCATGACCATTATCGTACCACCAAACACGAGACACATAGTTTGGATGGACCAATGCAGTCATCATGACAAAATGCGCCACATCCCTTGCACATAATCATAGCCTTCAGCCGACAGTAGCACTTTGATTGAACGTCCTCCATCCCAGAGGTTTCTATGAAGGCTTGCTCAGGTGAGGTCTCACCCTGACTGTTCTGATCCAGTAGGTGACCGGCAGGTATGGCAGTGACGGTGACGGAAAAAGACATCATACCTCCAGCAGCCGTTTCACCATCACCGCTGCAGGACACAGTGGGAGAAGTTGGAGTGTCAGCCATGCTGTGGTTCAGTGCGTGAGGGACAGACATGCTGATAGTGCCACCATACTGAGGTCCATTATGGGCTTTCTGAGACAGGAACGTGCGTTGGTGACAGTCACCTAACTGATATGGCTCTGTTTTACCCTGTATACTGCTGCACATATCAAGCTGCGCTCTTGAGCATGTTTCTTTGGTTCTAAAAGAAGTGCTGCCTTCGTCTTTGCTGGACAAACAACTCAGTGATGGAGATTCAGACGTTTTATCAGAGCAGGGTTGGGGTGGCAAACCATCATCTGGTTTATTGATGACACATCCCTGCTGTTCCACTTTGACCCTTGGGAAATTCGGGTGAAGGGTAAGTGATTCCGTCTTCCCTTTCACAATATCCTCTGCTTCGATTTTCTCCTTCTTCAGGTTGGCGAGGGCAGAGCCTGTATTACTACTTAGGTGGGGCCGTTTGCTGCTCTCGGATCCTCTACCATATGTGGACACGTTGAGGAGGTAGTGTCCTGTCATAGCTGGCTTGGATACCCTTTTCCGTCCAAAGATGCCTAGATGGATATTCTGGTCATGGCTACCCTCAAGGTGACCTAACTGACAGGACTGGAATTGGGAGTTGGAGCTGGTGTTCTTCTGCACACATTTGTGCCTTAGTGGATGGAGCATCTGGTCCTGAGTACCAACTTTTACCAACTTGTCCACACTTCTGACTTGCATGCCAAAAGGAACTTGGTTCCCAAGTTTGTTGGCATCTTCTTGGTTTGTTGAGCTATCTTTTTTCAACTCAGCAGTGGTGGTACCAAGATTCCCTTTATCTCTTGAAGAAATGGCCACAGATTGAACCTCCACCTTGGCTAGTGGCTTTGGGAGGATCTTTT